GATACATTCAAAGATCTAACATTTTGCTATTATGATCAATGGGAACACTGTTTAATCATTACTGGCAAAGACCACAGAGATCAGACTTAAACAATTGCAAGTTTTTTTACTGGCTTTATGATAATTTTTTAATCTGTTAGCCTGCACAGCTAAATAATCTTCGACATGATAATTTTCTTGTCAATATTATCTCCTATTACCTTCAATCTAATATATCCTTCGCAAATACTAACTTCAATACTAAAACATTTACAATCAAAGGGAGAAAACTCCTCTTCAAAAAATTATCCCCTGGAAGAAAAAGTAGATCAGCTCTCTGTTATATAAATCAATCCTCTTTTTGGACTAATTAATATGTAATGATATCTTTTTATCTTTTTATCGCAATTCAGAGATTTAGCAATATAAGTTTCTAATGATCACAATACAGTTAAAGGAAGCTATTCACAATAGTTTTCTCATTTAGAAAAGATTATTTTATTAAACCCAATACAGTCTAATAGAATCAAAGAATAATACGTTATCACACCATTCACTCCTTCCAGATTCAAAACTTCATTTTTTTTAATTCCAACAAAGTTTCTAACTGGGTTGCTTTATAAACTCCTCCAGATTCCAACTTTTACAATTTTCTATATCCTGATCAAACAATATTTGGAAAGTCTTATAAATCTTTACTGTTTTCTGACAAAATTCTATTCCAATATTTTGTTCCTTCTAATTTAACTGCCGATCCAAGATCTTCTTCAAAAAAACAGAACATTTTAACAGCTTGCAGTAAATGTATCTTCAACAATGATCTCTAATGAAATCGTCTTCCTATTACCGCACAATGATTACTTTGTGAAAATTTAGTTGACATTGATTTTCCTCAAATTATTCAAACAAATTATTTTATGTCAGTTAATTTAGAGAAGCTTTACTTGTTAAAAAGAAATATCAAATCAGCATCAGATCAAGAAACTCAAAGATATCTAGACATGAGACCAAATCTTGTACCCAACAACTTATTACTTAGCGATTCTCTTCCATTTTGTACTATTGAATCTTTGACACCTCTTTCCTCAACATATACTCTTCTCAATCAGTTTAAATTTGATTTGAAAGGTGAGAATTTACTCACTTTCTATACTGACAGTTCACACAAATTCTTTCCTCATTTCACTTTCCCTAGTTCTCATTTAAGTTCTGCATTTTTACTTGTTCACGATAATTATAACATAGATTTTACTACTGCTATTTCATCTTTAGGCTAACTTCACTAACACTGAAATTTTTGCTTTACTTTTAGTTTTAATGATCTGCCTTTTAAATTCTGAGATTAACATTTGTATAGATAGTTTGACACTGATAATTTATATAATAAAATTTACAAACAAAATGCATTTAATTATTTGTCATTAATATTCAAAATACCCTTTAACGTTTACTGGTTATTTATTTTCAAACTCATAGAGGAACAAAATTTTTCTTAATATTAAAGAAAGTAGCTGCGCATTCTAATGATCCCTATAACACAAAGTTGATCAACTCGCTAAATCCTTATTAATGTCATCACTTCTACCTTTAAACTTTAATCAAACTCCTTATTTTTCTTATATTCCTACATTCAATAACATGCTTATCTTCATTACATTACGTCTATTTCTCAAAGACTATACTAACACTAGACAATTTATTGATTTCTATTACTTAAAAAGAAATAGTAAATACAGTCAACTTCAAATCAATTGGTCATTAACTTTTGATTTCATCAAACTCAGCACTTCTACTGAAATCTCCTTTAAAGAGTATCACGCATACTTCAGACAACTTAAATTCCTTTTTGAACAAATTTTCACTATAGAATTCATGAAAGCAACTCAACCTACTATTTATAATATTTATAACTCATCATGGATATGCTGTCATTGCAACACTGACAAAGAACACTTTAGTCACATATGGATTTGTCCTAAATGAAAAAAGAGATGAAATAAATCATCACCGCAGCTCTTAACATTCTAAAAAATCAACTCTTCATACATACCTCACGATTAGTCTTCCCTCCTGATATTAATTCATTGTTACTCCCCTCACATCTTTTTTGGGCTTTAAAAGAAGATCCTTACAACATTTCTTTCATAGATTTTATTAAAGGTATAGTTCCTACTGCTCTTTTTAAGTTACTCGACTCCTTTACTAACACTTCCCTCACACCTCTAAAATCCTTTTCTTATTTTATGATTACATTTTTGATCAATCTTACGAAGTTATCTGAAAATCTAGATGCACAGCTACTATAGAAAAAGAACAATCACTTAATATCTCAAAATCCAGCAAAAAATGAAATTATAGTACTTCAAATAATTTTACTATTAACAGTTTCTCAAACTAATCGTTACCTATATCTAAATTTAAACATGATCATACTTCACTTATGACTAAATTATTTGTTCATGAACAGAAATAGTCCTTCTTCCTTATGCAATAATAACTAGAGTTCCGCAATTTGATTTGATATTTGAATATTTGATTTGATCAAATTCAAATCAAAGAATGATTTATTTGATCAAATCCAAATTAATCTTTGATTCAATTTGATCAAATTCAAATCAAGTATTCAAATATTTAATTAGATTCGAATCAATAGTAAAGCCATCTCCAAAGCTTCAGTAGTAATTCTTACTAAGAAAACATCGTAAAAAGCGTTTCTGCGACTTCAGAAATACCTTTTTACTAAGAATAACATAGTAAAAAGCGCCTTCGCATCTTCAGAAATGTCTTTTTTACTAAGAAATAATAGTAAAAAACGCCTCCGCAGCTTCGGAGTCATTATTTACTAAGAAAATATAGTAAAAATACCTCTATGGTTTCGGAGATGCTATTTTATTAAGAAAACATAGTAAAAATGCCTCTGCAGCTTCAGAGATATTTTTTATTAAGAAACATAGTAAAAAATGCCTCCACAGCTTCGAAAATGTTTTTTTACTAAGAAACCTAGTAACAAAATGCCTCTGTGGCTTCGGAAATGTTTTTTAATAATAAAATGGTTACAAAGCTGAGATAGCGGTTATTACTAAGTTTTCTTTGTAAAACTGAAGTCACAATGGCAGTTATTACTAAGTTTTCTTAGTAAACTGAAGCTGCAATAGTGGTTATTACTAAATTTTCTTAGTAAAACTGAGACTGCAGAGTTATTTTATTAAGTTTAATAGTAAAAATTTACCTGTTACTAAACTTACTTTGTAAAAGCTTTCTTTGAAATTTTTTAGTGTAATTACTAAACATTTTCTTAATTAAAACTTTAGAATAACTTTATTTTAATATATCATTATAAAAATTAAAAAAATTTATATTCAATTCAATTCAATTCGATTCAATCAAATATTTGATTTTATTTGATTTGATTTAACAAGTATTTGATTTAATTTGATTTGATTTGATCAGATTCAAATTAATTCAAATTGATTTGATCAAATATTTGAGTTCAATTCGATTCGATTCGATTTAATTTGAAAAAATCAAATCAAATTCAAATTGTTTAAATATTTGATTTAATTCGATTTTGAGAAACCCTATTGATATATATGATATATTTAATATATCTGACAGATTTGACATATCTATTAGGATCAGCAGATTTGGTAAATTATATAGCAAAATAAAAATCATATGATCTATTATATCAGGTGACTTTTAATTACTTATTACAATATATTTAGATATAATATAGTTATTATTTATAAGTCTTAATTAAAGATCAGGATTCTGCATTCTTTAACAATTTTATAAATATATGCCTCTATTATCAAAAAATTTCAAATAAAAATTTTAAATAATAGTATATTTTAGCTTTTTAATATGAATTTTTTTTTATAATAACTTTTATATTGAAAAGATTATTATGTTAGATTTAAATTTACTTAAATTTATATTCTCTTTATAATTATTTTTTTATTAGCAAGAATTTAATTTCAAATAATTTTATATTTTTACTATTAGTAATTTAAATATTAAAATATTTTAATATCAAAAATTATTATAATAGTTTTTAAATATAAATTAAAAAATCATATAATTATAAATAATATAAAAAATATTAATAATATATTTTTAATTTTTTTTATATCAATTAATATAAATAGGATATCTTAATATTATCTTTAAAAATTGTAATTAATCGCTTATTATTATTTATAATTAAAGATAATACTACAACTGATTTAAAAAATCTGCAGCTAATTATAACCTAATAGTTGTAAACATATTTTATCTATTTAATTATTAAGTAATATTTAACAGAATTTTTTAAAACTAATTAAAAAAACTGTTATAATAACAAAATCTTTTGGATAAACGTTTAAATAATATAACTATAGTTATTTAAGTAAAATATATATTAGAAAAAAAAGCATATTACACTCTAATTATATATCTGAAAATTTATGAAAATTAGCAAATATATATATATATATTTAATATAGATTGGATGAACATTTTAGTTATGTAATAATTAAAGATAATATTATAACTTTTTTTGAAAAATCTATAACCGATTGCAACTTAGATTACCATCTCTTAAATTGAACTAATTGTGAACTTTTATATTATAATTCTTAAAATTAATATTTTGTAACTAGTTATAATTATGAATTTATTTTTAATAGTGATAGAAGATGATTCTTTTTATAATAATAATGATAAAATACAGCAAAGAAATGCTAAATATATGGAATTTTTAGATAATACAAAAAAGCTTAATGCAAAAATAGATATTAAACATTACTTAGCAAAGACAATAGAAATGTAAGCATGTTTATCAATAATAATAATAGATATCAACTACTTTTTTCATATAATTAAAATCATTTAGTTTAAGAATTTGATTTTTTTAATAAAATAAATCCATTAATAACATATGGATAATTTTTGTTTCATTACCTATATATTAATTTAAATGTTACACAGTCTGGGTTTCACATTAATACCAAGTTCGAGATTTTACATCCAAGTTAAAAATGTCAAACTCGGCAACACCAACCAATTCAACAAGTGAAAATAATACTCCTCAACAAACAACTCCTATTCGCAGTCCTCATAGTAATCAAAGCCACCACAGTAGTATACCAAGTAGCCCACGCCAACAAAGCTCGAATCACGGAAATGAAATTAACAAATATGTATCAGAACAAAATTCGCCCCTTTCAGAGCTAGTAGACACCGATTCAGCCAGTGACAATGAAATAGTTCGTCGTAAACGTGTAAAACGTCATGCCGTAGAATCTCCTACTCATGATAGCTCTCGTACAAGGTCTTTAAAAAGTTCGTCAATAACGCCAACTGCACTATCGCCTAAAAATCAAGACGCGATTTCCGAACTTTTTTCAGAGAAGCACTTGACCAAAAAAAGTCCATGGGAAATTACCGACGAAGATACAAAAAATGATAACTCCGGTAACGAAGATATAGATTTATTTGGAGGTGCAGTTAGTGACGATGAAGGGCAATTCGAACAGTAAAGCATCTTTGATTTAATTATTAAAAGTGTTATTTCCAATTTATTGTTAACTTCTTTCTAAACTAAGCTTACATAAAGACGCACCGATGTCAGATGATGAAGGATATACTCGGCCTAGATCCTTTAATACTGGAAATTATGAATTAGTCTACGCAAAACCTCCGGGTAGCTGTGATGGAAAGGTATATAAACTTTCAACCTCTTTCTCAATTTAATACTTTAAATTATCAAACCATGTATTAATTTGCATACTCGTATATACATTTAGTATTATATAGCAAAATTGCCAAATTTTTTTACTTACTGCACCCAAGCATATGCACCTGAAAGCTACACAGAAGAAGATGATTACAAGCATGGAAATACAATTAGGTTAGGCGCAGAAAACACGATAAGATGGCGATATAAAAGGAACGAAATGGGTGAAGAGGTAATTTATAATTTATTTTATATTTAATTTAAAGTTTATTTCGATAATTTAATTGCTGAATCTTTTTTTAGACTGAAGTGAAAGAATCAAACACCAAAATGATTAAATGGTCGGATGGAACAATGTCATTGCTTATTGGAGAAGAAATGTTTCTAATTAATTCTCACGATATATCTAAGCAACATACATTTCTTGGAGTCCCAAATGTACACAGTAATTCGATTGAAAATCATGCAAGGTTGACAAACCAAGTTACTTTCCGTCCTGATCCCAACAGTCGGACACACAAAAGATTGAGTGCTGCCATTCAGGCTAGAAATGTTAAACAAGTCAAGACAAAATTTGTTGATATAAATGATCCAAAATTAATTGAATTACAACTTCAAGTATATAATTTTATAATTCTTAACAACTTTTGATTATATATTTTTACTCTCGACTTTTTTTTATTAATAATAATATTATTATTATCCATTTCAGAGTGAAAGAGAAAAAAAACCACGCACCGAAAAACGTACAACTGTAGCTTCAAAATCAAGGTCGCGTAAAAGGTCCTTTGACGAATATTCAGATCCAGATGAACCAAGCTACATGTTATATAGAAGGAATGATTCATACGAGGATGACACTGGTTTTGTGGTTGCAGATGAGAATGACTCTGATGACGAATATAACCGGCCAGAAAAAAGGCGCAAAGGAAAAGAACGAGCTACCGAAAGCCGTAGGAAGAGAGACTTAACACCTGTTGAGAGTTCGTTAAGGTTACGAAAGCGTCATCTTGACGAGAGCAAAGAAGAAAACTTGGATGAATATGGAGATAATGGCCAAGAAGAACACCTTGAAGAGGGAGATGGTGACATGTCACTTGATAAGCTCCCAAAGCGCGTAAAAGAGGATGTTGAAGAGATCGATGCCGATATTGATATCGACGAAAGTCTTTTACATGATCACGACGAAGAGGAAGAAGATATGCCTGTTGTGAAGAAGGGAAGAAGAAGCAATAGGATGATTATTGAGGATGACTAAATTTATTATTATTATTATTATTATTATTATTGTTTTAAGATAATACTTCCAGCTAGAGCTTCGAACAAAATTTATCTCACGCGTTTCATAAAACTATCATTTCTATACTTAAACAATATTCAAATTAATAAAAATTTGAGCAGACCAAAAATAAAATCGGAACTAAATGTAATATATATGCTCTATAAATATTTAAATATACAGTATTATTTGTATATATAAATCGAATTATATTTATTTATCGTAGTTAAAAAACAAACAAAAAAAAATTTCAATATTTTTTACAGATTATCAGATCTAATATTATGATATCAGAATTTTATAAGTATTTGTCAGTTTCCCGAAATAAAATGGCCACAAACGTTAAATAATCAAGTTTAACTGACTACACAAAGTTTCCCATATAACTTTTTACATAATATTGACCAGGATAATTTTCTAAAGTTATAGTTACCGACCTATACTGCAATAACCAAACTATAAAGTTTTTAATTTGACATGACCTTTAAAGGAATTAATTTATTCATAAATCTCGAAATAATGTTCGATTATGTATACGTTAAAATTTACCATGTCTGTAAAATTGATATGCCCCCAAAAAACAAAACGACCAGTATATTTTTGATATATATGTATATAAACACATGATTCGTCCATTGGTACTCGAGAAAAAATTTTAATTTTTACCACATAAACGCTTAATCATTTTATTAGTTTTTCATTTAATTTTTCTTAATTAGTTTTCATAATATTATGTTTAACTTTTTGTGCCTAAAAAAATTAATCTACAAATTAAAAGCTTAATTGTTTTTTTTTTTTCGACTTAATTAAAAGAAGAATGGAAGGATTAAATTAAAATATCGGTTGATGATTGAAAATATTAAGTAAATAATTAATTTCTGGTGAGTTGGGAAAAAACAAGAAAAACATTACGCGTTCAAAACAATCCTTTTTTATCTAATAACTTTCTTCTGCGTAACCAATACCTTCACCGATTACAACGTGTTCCTCCCCAACGCCTTTCGAGAACATTGGTATTGGTATTATTGAATTTTGATATTGTCGACTGCGAATATTATTAATCAACAATTCGCATTCCTGCACGAAACATAATTGCATATGATAGCTTCGTAATGCCCTCTCATACCAATGTAGGGCCTTTTCAAGATCTACATGACATCCGATTCCAAAGTTATAAAATCTTCCAAGGAGAACTTTAATAGGTCCAGGGCATGATGGAAAATCCTCACAAATGGTTCGAATTAAATTATATGCTTCAACGTAATTTTGAACAGTACAAACATCTTGAAGAAGATATAAAGCGTATTGTAATTTCCCACCCCAATAGTTATCGCTCTCGCTAGAACGTCGAAACCATTCAAGCGCTTCGTTATCATTTTTTATGGTACCAATTCCGGCCGATTTACAATTACCTAAGAGCTTCATGCCTTGTGGATCACCTAATTGGGCCATGCGATAATATAAATCACAAGCGCGTTCATGATCTGCTTGTGTACCGATACCATATCGAAGACAATAAGCGAGGTTAAACATCGCGTCGATATGTCTATCAATTATAAAAAATATGATGATTCAAATTAATTTTACTTTGATCATTATTTTAAAAAAAAATTATGACCTATTTAATATAATGAAAGGTTTACCCCATGAAAACGGCGCGTTCGTAATATTTAATGGCACGTGACGCATCGGCTTCGACACCAATGCCCATTTGGAAACAGATGCCTAGTTGACACAAAGTTGCCGCATTTGGGGGATCGACATCCACAATTTCCAAATATATCTCCACCGCCTTCTTTTCATCTCTAAAAAAAAAAATCAAAAAAAAAATTTTCGAAAACGAGTAAGAATTAGTGTACTAGTAATAATAATAACAATAATAAAAAAAAATTAATAAAAAAAATTTTTTTTTTTAATTCTTACTTAACCACACCAATACCATGTTGGAAACAATACGCTAATTGATGTTTACCACGTTTCGAACCTAAATTTGCGGCATTTGCGAAATGACTAAAAGCGAGAAATGGATCACGAGGCTTCTCAACGTGAAGGTAGTAATGTCCTTGCTCATAAAACATTTCCGCTTGTTGAGATAATGTGACGAGCGTTGTAGTGTTAAATGAAGGATTTATATTTATTTCGGTTGAAGTTGTTGTTATAGGGAATCCTTCGGGCAAGTATTTTTCATTATGAGGGGTGGTTGGTGTAGGAGGATATGGTATTTCAGGAATATCAAAATTTTTTTCAAAATAATTTGATTGAGAACCTTGAAATTTTTGAGCTGGATTTGCAATTTTCGAAACGAGATTCAAATAATATTAATAAAAATATTTAATATATATAATATATTTTGTAATAAGAAAAAAGATTATGGAACTGTACCTTGGGATATAATCACCATGTCGAGTTCACCGTGACTACTATAACACTGATATACATGACCAGCAAATCAATAAATACAAGAATTCAATTCATTTTACGCCATACAAATAAAACTTTGACCACATTTTTTTCTTCCGAAATTATAATAGATAATCAATAACAAATAAACAATTACCTCGGGTTTAAACTCGTTCCGAGGACATATTGAAACTTCTTGTTTTATGAAATTTCCCAAGTTTGTAGGTGAAGGGATTTGTGATGCATAAAGCATGGACGTGGCGTCTCCCTGCTGCGTCAACGGTTGTTGATGTGTGTAATCGCCAAGTTCTTTCGCTCCATATTCTGGGCTAGGCAACATGACATTCTCGGTATCATAAAACGTGGATGGATTAGCAGTAATTATGGTTTGGTAATGACCGGATGAAATGTTTCCTTGTGAGAACACAGGGTCGTATACGGAATTCACATAACGTTGGTTATTCATGATGATTGGATCAAAAAGAGATGAATTTAAGAAAATAGGGAAAGGAATGAATTAGTTTAGAAAAAAGCACTTGAAAAGTCGTAAAGAAAAAATGAGAAGATTATGGTGGAAAATCGGATATTTAATAAAAATATGTGAACCAAAAAAAGATTAAATTAATATTTTAATACAATATTTTGGATGATTTTATAATGGAAAAAATTTTTTTTTTTATTATTATTTATATTTATTTTTTTTTGCTAATTGAAATTTTTTTTTTTTTTTGTTGTTTCACTAGTATATTATTATTATTATTGCGAGATTGATTGTGTATGTACTGTATAATAGTGTATAAAAAAAGAAAGACAAAATCTAAAAAATCTATAATGACAACAGAAAGATAATGTGATTGTCTGCGCGCCGTACAAACATTTATTAAGTCGCATGTTACCGAAGTATTAATTTTCTAGCAGTTCTTTTGAAAAGAAAGACATGGAAATCTCGTAGAAAAAATTATATTAAAAGTACGATAAAGCGATAAAATTATTAATATATATATAAATGTCAAAATTTACTTAAGATATCATACCCTCGTGACACATTTACAGAGTTCGTGTATTGATACACCTCTTGATATTCTATTTTAGATTACTTGGAACAAGGTAAAATCATAATCATAATAACAAAAAAAAAAGGTTCGAAATTGCATAGCTAATAAAAAATTGTTTATTAATTGTAAGCATATTTATAAAAACTTTCTTTTTTTTTAATGTACTGCATACATATTACAATAGAATGTTTATATATATTTTGTTGGAATTTTGCTGTATATTTTGGCGGAAAATTTACGACTCCAAAAAAGGGACATGATTTTAAGGTCACGTTCAATCATCAAATGAATTCTCTTCAGAAAATCTCCTCAGCCTATTCCTGCATAAAGAAATAAAGAAAGCGAATATGTTATTACTTGTATTCCAACAAGTAATTGTATACACTTAAAAGACTAGAGGATGTACCAAATTTGCGGCTTAGTTCAATTATGTTTCATTTCTCTTTAATAATTACCTGTGTTTCTTTAAAATAGGGGGGAAAAACGATACATATTTCATTGAGAATTTCTTATTATGAAGACCTTATTTTATTTTTCCCAAAATGTTCAATGCAAGTTTCTTTTTTCACCATAAACTTTGTTGTAATTGATAACACGTGGAATTTTACATTGAATGCATATTCATTTTTTTTATTGTAATCTCAAATACCATTAATTAGATCAGAAAGAAATTTTATCGAAATTTCATTTGTGCACAAACTTGCGCACTTTACGATAAACAGAAGATCGTGAGAATCTCTCTATTTCTGGCAATGATACCTTTCGCGCACTTTGTGTTAATAATCTTTGTTCTTAAATTGGACATTATTTTAAGGAAATGAAACCTTTTAATTTAGATTGAAGGTTGATCTGATGACCATAACTTTTTTAAATGTAACTTCACGACCATGAATTTTGTCGATAGGGCATCGTTTCGATGATGTTGCGAGTGTTGGATCAAGTCGGATTTTTAAGATGTCGTAGCATTTTTTTTTTAATTTTTTTTTTTATCTGCAACAACGCATCATACATATCATCAATGCATATATACTGTATATATATATATTCGATGCACTTTTTTTTTTTTTTTTTATTTCTATACATTGTCATTTTCGTGGGGATGATTCATACTTGTATATTGGAATGCGTATCATTGTTTTTTTTGGGATATTCGGTCCATATCTAGGATTGAAGAAAAAGGGGTAAACACCAAGACTAGTTAGATCTACGAAACACTTTTTTTTTACCCTTTGCATATAACGTCAACACGAACCTTAATAAATATGTATATATCTAATTTTTTTTTTTTTCCAAAAAAAAGCAAGCTATCGGTTTAATTTCGTCATTTCTCCACACAGAATCCTTTTTTGAATGACGATTATGATAACGATGATGATGATGATAATTTTGTTGTATGATTGATTTAATTGAACTATTCTTTCATGACCAAATTACACTCGTTGAACAAATTCAATTTTTTTGTAACAAACGTGTTCCTCATCAACTTTTGACACAATGGATATTAAAATTTTTTAATTTTTGACACCAACGAGACCTTATAATGCATGTGCAACTTTACTAAACCTGCTTGCTTGTCAAACCTTTCAAAAAATTTGATATTTTATTTCGTGTGACGCTAAAAACCTTGTGCGACCTTTGTGGGGGAAAGAGAAAACGCAGATTACTTGCATCAACCCTCGAATAATACAATTGCTTGCTCTTATGCATTATGCTAAGAAAGGTATCACCTTACTTTAAAAGGAAATCGAACAAAGTTACAAGATCATAATATTACATTATTTCCTTTTCAAGTGATTATTATAATGCCAGTTCATGTCACTGAGCATTAAAAAGGGTGATCTTTGTTCCCGGTAAAATCATCACGAACGAGTAAATGATGCGCATATATAGTTAAATCAAAAAATAAGATCTTTTGCTGCCATGGTTTCCTGCTCTTTTTTTCATTTTTTTTTTCATTGCAGATGAATATGGATGCAACAAAGGTTTAGGTGTTATTGTTGTTCTTATGAAAATTACAAATATTGTGTTTGTAGGTCAACATAATAGTAAATAATAAACATATTGTGTCTGAAAAACTTTATTCACTTTAATTTTTTGCATTCGGTTTTTGCATGTGCAGTTTTTGAAGCCTTTAACATTTTGTCCATTATTAACCCGATTGAATGACTTCAATTTTTTTTTTTTTTTTTTATATTTTCCAATCAAGAGATACATTTTTTAACAAATATTTGTTAAATTAGTATTAAATTTCAGTCTGGAACAAGCCTCCATTTTCCCGGATCATATGAATTTTGACAATAAGTTATGCTTAATTTGTAACAGCGGTGAGATCACGTGACTCCGACATACTTTCAAAAAAAGATATCGTACATTTCCCTCAATTATTTTTTATTATTATTTTATTTTATTTTATTTGTACGGGGATTCCTTTTACGTATCACACGAACTAGGCCAAAATTCGGTGGTTTCGTTTCATTGAATGAACCCGATTTTGGATTTTCATACCTTTTTGTTTAACGATGATTTTCCATGATATAATTTTATGTCATCATGGATATCATCGTTACGATAGAAAATAAACACCGCACATCACGTGTGATTTCGCGTCGATTATAACAATGATAGAGAATTTTGGTATTAGATTACGTTACACATCAAAACCTTTTTTTTTTCTCGATGGAAGATTCTAAAATTCAAGAAGTTAGAGAAACGTTGGATAGTATGTTTTGATATAGCCCGTTTAAGTTATATAACCTTTTATATTATAGAACGTCTTACTAAATTCATGTTATCATTTCACAATAAAGTACTCTACGAGATATCCACTTTACTTAATACTGGTTTAGATCGGGACACCCTTTCCATATGCCTGAACTTGTGTGAAAATGGTGTAAATCCCGAAGCTTTGGCTGTAAGTTTGAAATCCGTTTATGGTTTATAAATGTAATCCATTTTTGAATAATATATATATATATATATAGGCCGTGATAAAGGAACTTCGAAGAGAAACTGTTTCATTAAAGGTATTTGTGATTTTTTTTATTTACTTTTTTTTTGTAATAAATTAATAAATTAATTAATGCGTCTTTCAGCCATTTGATTCAGTTAACTCAACAACTTCGAATGATCGTGGTGGAACGAGCAGTAATCTTAAGAAATAGATTTCTATATAATAAGCCATGTTCAATATTCTATCATTTTTTTTAAAAAAAAAAAAAAAAAAAAAAAAAAAATAGAAATGAAATTAGAGAACTATATAAATAATAATGTCGTGAAAAAAAATTTTTTTCCCAAACTCTATTGGATATTAAATAACTATGTAGTAATTTTTTTCCCCTCACTCTCCAACGTGATTGATTTATTAATGATTTACAAATGTCTAAATTTTCAAAAGTAATAACCAATTCATTGTCTTGTTAAATTTAATGTATATAAGAGACATTCGATCTTTGAATTTCTAAGCTTTAAGCAATTCCAAGAGATCTTTGGTATCTCCTTCTTCCATTTGTATTTTTAAATCTTTAATATTTCGACATAGTCTAAGTGCTTTTACTAATCTGTAGGAAGATTCTATACAGCTAGTTGATTTAGGTAACATAACATTTTCTAAACTATTATGGCAATTTTCGATCAATGCCGCTACATCGTCAGGACATACCCAATATCGAGGTGATTCGATATGATTAGTATAAAATCCAAGGAGTTTTAAATTTGAAAATTTCGCCAAAGTTAAAGAATTCATTTTATCACCTATATATATGCAATGAATAAACTTCAAGTATTCCAAATTCTCAAAGGCCGCCAAGGCTTCCATAGATTCACAAGGCATGAAATTACAATACTCGAATTGAATCGTTGTTAAAGTTTTCGCTTGTGATTTAAGAGCACAGAGAGTTTCGGACAATACGACCTGAAATTTTGTTTGATAATCCCACGTGTATTTAAAAGTTTTTAACCTCTTTTGAGCTCTGATCAAAACTCCCAAAGCTTTAACTTCCATGTCGGAATCAACGCCTCCGATCACAAATGTTTCAATGAATTCTGATACCTGAGAGATTGCTCGAAAGATCCCACTCTTATTTCTATGCTTGCTAACGCAGTGAAATGTTTTTAATCGAGTGAAACATGTACCGATTCCGGATAAAAATGGTAACAATGGCATAGATATTTCATAAGGTATATCTGATAATGAAAGTAGGTCAAAGTTCGTGCAATTACTCATGAATAATTTAAATAATTGTTCCGTGATTAAGACCTTTAGGAAGGTTGCTTGTTGTTCGTCAACAAAGTTACCTATAACGTTGGAGAACCATTCAGATACTCCATTATATAGATCCGAAAACTTCAATTCTCTCAAAAAGGATGGGTAATCAAATATTATTGAAGGTGCTTCTAAAATGCTGGTTGGTAATATGACCCCGTTGTTACAGAGGTATTGTTTTGACTTTCGGTTAAGACACGATAGATAAATTTGTATTATTCTTGCAGGTTCAAATGACAAACTATACGAAAGTTTAAAGGGATTTTTCCATATAATAGGAACCGCAACTTTACACCAGCTTCGATTGACTAAAAGACACGGATAAAGTGAGTCTATTTCAAGACATTCAAAGATTTCACGTAGACATTCGGGGGGTAGGCTACTTGCTGTGCTTTCATTGTAAAAACAATGACGTTCAATGATAACTGACGGTAACGGTTGTTTTGACTGTGTCTGTTTTAAACGAGAAAAGGTTGTTCCCATTTCTCTAATTTGATGGAATTTTGATTTTTGAAAAAAAAAGAAAAAAATTTTTTAAATTTGACTTGCTTTTTAAGTTAATTTCATATAATGCTATAATGCAAATATTGGGCGATCAGTGCATTTTTTTTAAATTTAATATTGTGTGAATAGATGCGGATCCGCAGCAACAATTCAATTGTAAATATTGACAATTAGGTATAAAAATAGCTGTCGATTGTTTCTCGTTTAACATGTGAAACATTATTTACTGCGGTTGAAATTCAAATTTGATCCTTTATTATGCAAATTAAAAGACAATATATTCACCCCCGTAATTAGACAAAAATAAAAAAACTCATATACAATGTTTATTTATCATTTTGCATGTTGTCAAAAGTAATGCAAATAAATGAATAAATTACATTCCGATCGCTATTTTAAATTAATGTTTATCCTTGTATATATTCGAATAAGTTATTTGTCTACCGTAAATAACGTGCTCTAATAAGTTTTAATTCTTATTTGTTAAATTATTGATTCTCTGCAATGCGAGATCAGCTTCATTTACACAATCTGTAAAGTCAATCTTCTTTGCAAAATTACGAGCCTTTTCGTAATATTCACTTGCCTTAATAAAATTTCCCGATAACTATTATAATTAGAAAAAAAAGGTATAATGTTTAAGAAAATAATAATCATAATGATCATGATAAAAAAAAAAATTTTAAATTAAAAAAAAACATTGACATACTTCTGAGATCATTCCTAAATTAAATAATAAAACTCCACAAGCTTCTTCACATTCCGTATTTTTCCTTTTTTGTTTAAAATTTTCAACAAGCTTTAAACCTCGCTCCGCCCAACCTTGTGCTTCTTCCAGATTACCCATGCCGGTGAACACCTCTGATATATTGTTCATAAGAACGGCTGAATGACAAGAAGACTCGGGTGGATTGATCAATGATAAAGCACGAAGATAAAGTGGGAGAGCGTATCTAAGATATGACATTTAACATTTAGTTAGTATAAATGATCTTTTGAAATTTTGGGATAATGAATTTATGCATACCGAAACAGAAAAATCTCCAGCCTTTTCATTTATATATCACTTACGCGTATTTGTGTCGCGATGAATAGAAAGTTGCCAGAGCTTCAAGCGAAGCACCTAAATCAGTCGATGTCATCCAAGGTGGAAGAGTCAAGTCACGTCCCTTTGAAAATAACCCATCACGATTGCTGTGATCATGATTGGATTGGTCCAATTCGTGTTGTGACTGCAAAAGTTGTTCTACGGACCATACAAAGTATTTTTCTGCTTGCTCATCCTGTTTCAAACTTTGATGCAAATCGCCTAACTTTTGCGCCAATCCAATAGACCTAAGTTTTTTCTCCCCATCCAATTTTATTGAAATACGATTGGGGGTAACGATGGCATCATACGCCATTGTAAAAACATCCGCGGCATCACGTATTCGTCCAAGCTCCTCGTATAGGCTACCCAATTGAATCATGATTCCAGTAACTTCCGCCGATGAATTGTCTAATTCTGCATGATTAAAGGCTTCCGTGAGTGCAGTTTGATAATAATTAACCGCACGAATTGGATCACTCCTATAATTTTGATAATATAAGCCCTTTTTGAGATTTTTACGAATCTCTTCGGGATATTTATTAACTGTTGAGTAAAAATACTGGTACAATCCAAGGAATGCGATTGCGGATGCCGTAAAAATCAATACTATAGGAAACGCTGGTAATCTTTTGCCTTGCTCTTTATTATTTTGAGAGAAATAATCATGAATTCCTGAAGGTTTTTTTTGTATCGAAGGTTGTTCTGGTTTAGTTGATTTCTCGAGTGAAGGTTTCGAATCATTGATTTTGGGGGAGCTTTTATGAGCTTGATTAGTTTGTTCAGTAGAGAAGAAACAATTCCTTGTGACGGTAACTTTCAACCTAGCCTTTACAACCATTTGACGATGACTTGCAAAGGAATGAAATGTGATAAATTGATTCGGACGTTTAAACGTGGTTGATAAGGCATTGCGCAGGGTAAATTCTCTTGCCAAAGTCCTTGGGATCTGTGAGACAGCGAATGCCATTGAAAGGTAGTTGGAAAAAAAAAAAGATTTTGGTTGCTGATTTAAATAAAGGGATCATATGAGGAATAAACTCGTCCAATCGGAAAATTTATAATTATGTGGGTTACTTGATAAACATCGTTACCGATAAAAACATCAGATCTTAGATTATTGAACTTTCATTTATAAATAAATACTCCAAAGAAAAAAGTAAATAGAGTAGAATGGCAGATCGGAGGCGGATACAAGGACCAGAGGTTACCGTTACGCCAATAATTATTAAGTCTTCTGATAAAAAAAAATTATTACTCAAGGACGTAAATGGCCGACGTCGCGATGGAAGAAACTTGGAAGATATTCGGCCGATTTGTATGAATGAATATTTTTCTTACAAATTCCTTTAATGATTTTATTCCTTTATTAATTGTTAATTTGTTTTTTTTTCCAGTCCTAAAAACTGGCCTCATTAGTCAGGCTAATGGTTCAGCATATGTTGAGCTGCGACAAACCAAAATTGCCTGTGGAGTGTAAGTCCCATCATTAATTAAATTAACTACGTTACGGAACTCTTCCTTTCATTAATTAATTTTTTTGATCAAATGTTAGTTATGGTCCACGACAAACGAAAGTTGCATCGTTCAGTGGGAAAGGGAATTTAAATTGTGAAATTAAATTCGCTCCATTCTCGTGTTTGAAGCGTAGGCAACCTTATCGTGTAAGTTTCATTTTTCTCTAATTTAGAATTATTTAAATGATGATAAATAATGTAAATGTAATTAATAAAATTTGTAGGATGCGCAGGAAAAAGAATTGTCACATCTTGTGTTTGAAGCATTGGCACCTTCTATACGACTTGATCTCTTACCCAAATCGACCATTGATGTATTTATCAGCGTGCTAGAGAATGATGGAACGGCATCATGTTTAGCTGCTGCGATCACATGTGCTTCAGTGGCTGTAGCTGACGCGGGTATAGAAATGTTGGATCAGGTTGCATCATGTTCTGCGGTAAGGATGGGTATTTTTGGGGGATATTAACATTTAATTGGGAACAAAAAAGAAATTAATTTATTTCATTTTCCAAAGTCGTATATTGATGGAGATATTTACATGGATAGTGATCTTTTAGAGGAACAGCGCGAAACCGGATCAATAGTTCTATCTTATATGCCTTCATTAAATGAAGTAACTCACATTTTACAATCCGGTGAAGTTGAAATATCTCAAACTACTCAGGTTAGATTATACTTCAAAGATAAATAATGTATCAATTTTTTCTTACATCGAAGTGAAGGTTGCTAACTTAAAATAAAATCTTAGGCTATCGAACAATGTACTGATGCATGTTCTAAGATATATTCTATCATGAACCACAGTCTATTGGAATCCGTAAAGGACAAGATGCAATAATATTATAGAAACAAATATATTTGGATCATCCACCATTTCTCGTGATTTTCATAAATTATTCTTGGCAGTTAAAGCAATGGCTGCTTTCGACCCATTTTGTCTACCCAAATGCTGCGAAATATAATTACCAGTGCGTACTAGATTTTCAAGATTCACACCCGTATGAAAACCCATTCCTTGTAACATATATACCACGTCTTCTGTTGCTACATTTCCGGTTGCTCCTTTAGCAAATGGACACCCTCCTAAAATCATCATGATGTTATTTAGTATATAAACCAAAAAATAAAAGGAAACAATATGAATCTTAATAATGAATACCTAATCCCGCAACAGAACTATCAAAGACTCTTACTCCATGCTATTTAGTCATTTTCAAAGTTAGAAAGAACGTTAATAGATTAGTCAAGTGAGAAAAAAAAATTCTCTGCTCTTTTTCCAACGAACCTCAGAAGCGCAATATATGTTTGCGAGAGCCTGACCATAAGTATCATGGCAATGTAATGCTAAACGCTCAACCGGTACCACTTTACGTACTGCGGTTAACATGCTTATTAATGAACCTTGATGATGATTATGAGGATAGAAATCAGTTCAACGTCGCACCCTGTCATTCTCCGCATATCATAACAATAATTCTCACCAGGTGTACCAACGCCGATTGTATCCCCTAGGGATATTTCGTAACATCCAATCTTGTACAACCGTTCAGCAATCTTTGCAACCGCTTCAGGTGAGACTTCACCTTCATAAGGGCATCCGAGTACGCAAGAAATATACCTTTGTACATCAACAGAATTAATACAAAAGAAACAAACGATTAACAGAGATCTTAATAAAACTAAATATAATTACCCTCTAACAGCGATTCCTGCTAATCTGGCACGCTCAATTACCTCATGAAATCGTGAAAAGCTCTCCTCTATTGAACAATTGACATTCTTTTGACTAAAGGTTTCCGAGGCTGTACCAAAAATAGCCACTTCTTCCACGTCTACAGAAATAGCTTTTTCTAAGCCTTTAAGATTTGGTGTCAGAACTGGATAATTAACTCCTGGTTCACGCGTTATTTTTTTCATAACTTCATTACAATCTGCCATCTATTTTTCAATTTAATCAGAATCAGAAATGTAAATAGTTATCAAAAAACGCGGCGAAAATAAGAAATTTACCATACCTGAGGAACATGTTTCGGCGACACAAAAGAGGTTGCCTCAATCACTTTCAAACCCGTTTTTGATAATTTATTTATAAAATTTACCTTGATCTCTGTTGATATAGGCTGCTTTTCATTTTGTAGTCCATCACGAGGACCAACTTCTACAATTTTAACTTTTTTTGGTCCTATATATGATCCTAAGTTCTGAGATAAAGGTTTTTTCTAAATACATAAGTAAAGCCTTTGATACAAAAGGAAATGGAAAATAAAGCATTTACTTGATCACGTAATGCGGAGAACCAACGTATTTTAATAAACGAAAGCTTACTCAAGCTGGAACGGAAATTAGCCATGTGGACGAATCCCTCCTAAAATTTGTTTTGTGATAATATGAGAGTACTTTGATCGATAAAATGACATCACATCTAATTGATGTTCTGCGGAATCGCAAATATTGGAGCCTAACCTGATTTGGTTATGAAATTTTCGGTCTTCGCGGTTTAAACCTTTTAGATTTTTTCGTGCTGAAAGATCAATTTAATATTTTAAAAACACGGTTTTCGCGTAAACATCGTTATTCGCCTCACATGCCGCCCGAATTTCGATGACAACTCGCGCTACTTATCTTAAAGGTTGTAGTTATTAATTATTAAATTCCTTACTCGATCAAAATTAAACTAAAGACAAGATCTTTTATCGTTGGTTTTTGATTAATTGTCGATTAATATTCAAGATTTGAGAGCACACCAAGAGAGCATGGGACTTGAAATTCACGATTTTACTGAAGAGAGTGATAATAATTCAGTTAGTGACATTCCGAATATGAGTACTGGTACTGACTATGAACGTAGTAGCTTTGAAGATCATGAGCTCGGTTCCATTATAGGGGACAGTAACGAGGATGAAAGTATCGACGCAAAGATAGATAATAAACCCTTATTAGGAAATATGAGCAAAATGGCTGTGAATGTCCTATATACACCGGGTAAGGATATTTTAAGCTAAATAAACAAACTTCAACTTCGTAATATTTCCGAAATTTATTTAGGAACTTGCACTTTACGAACGGTGTGTTCATTAATTTTTAATTTTAGAAAATCAGTGTGATTTTCCATCTACCCAAAATGTTTATCTGGAGGAAGAAGATCTCAATGTATGTCATTTAATATATAATTATTAAGGAATTGATCGTATCATCCTAACGTGATCCATTTACATTCAGATCATTTTAACTGGTTACCGCTTTCATCGCTTTCGCACATATATATATTATATCTTTTGTTTTTTGACCGGAGGATCATTGTTTCTTCTTGCTCGATGGATACCCAAAATATGGATTTGGTGGGTAGGCATTGTTTGCGTTATGGGAAAGGCCGAATTTATTACCATAAAGGTTGGTTTTTTTCTGTCGAACATTAAAGAATCCATAATTTATTTTTTTCTTGAAGTATAATCGTATTATTGCTTTGCATATATTCAGAATCAATGGGGTGAAATTGCGATTGAGTTCGTAAATCGAAAATATTACGGTGGAACTATTTCGTCTGTATTTTCGGTTGATCAGCTTGATGAAGAAGATATGGCAAGAAATAATTCTGATCCCGATGAAATATTACATAATTTACGCTATTTTGATCATCGTTATATACGATTCATTTATCATCCCGGAATTGGAAAATTTTTACAAAATGGGTATTGTATAAATTTTTTTTTTAAGTGAATTCGGTAACGATCAGAAAGATTTATGTGCTAATAATTTTATAGCTATTGGAAAGATTCAAGCTGGACATCTACTAAAGTCTTAAAAAAGGGGATCACTCGTGCCGTTCATGATGAACGGAAAATTATTTTTGGGCCAAATATAATCGATGTTCAGGAAAAATCGGCTTTACGGTTATTAACAGATGAGGTGGGATTTCTTGTCTATTTTATAGTCGGGAACAATTAGACAAATTTGATAGAAATTAATGTTTGATGTTGTAAATCATTTTAGGTCTTACATCCGTTTTACATTTTTCAAGTTTTTTCAATGATACTTTGGTTTCTCGACGAGTATTATTACTATGCTGCATGTATTCTGATCATTTCTGCCACAAGTGTTATTACTACTCTTATCGAAACAAAACAGGTAAGACGGAAATGTGGGCTTTTATTTTGGAATAACGTAATAAAATACTCATTTATAATGTTTTTAAAGACCATGCATCGATTACGTGAAATGTCAAAATTTGTCTGTGATGTGAGGATCTTTCGCAACGGGTTATGTAAGTATTTATAGAAAAAATAAAATATTTTTTTTTTCACGTTTTATTTAGCAAACTTTAACAAATATTTGTATAGGGAGATATTCTTCTTCAGAAGTTTTAGTACCCGGAGATGTATTCGAAATTTCTGATCCAGGTCTATATGTTTACCCTTGCGACGCCATTTTATTGACAGGCGATTGTATTGTCAATGAAAGCATGCTTACCGGTTAGATCAAGATTCATTTTACTGCACAATTGCAATATATATTTATTTGATATGTTTTTTTAGGAGAGTCGGTTCCGGTTTCAAAATTGCCCATCACAGATGCATCGTTACGTATGATGGATTTGACAGCGGTCAATGTTCGGCCAGAAATTGCCAAACATTTTCTTTTTTGTGGAACAAAAATTGTGAGGGTTAGGAAAACCAAGAGCAATATCGATGGAATTGAAGATGAAGGATCCGCATTGGCAATGGTTGTCAGGACAGGTGAGGTATAATAAAATTATAATCAATAATATATTTTATAATTAAGTTAATCTTCCAATTTCTAGGATTTAATACGACTAAGGGTTCCCTTATTCGATCGATGTTATTTCCAAAGCCAAATAAGTTTAAATTCTATCGAGATGCTTTTCGTTTTATTGGGATTTTATCTTTAATAGGTATGTTTTTATCTATATGAAGATTAATTTAAACCTAGTGTATTAATGTGTTTTTTTTTTCATTCTTTTTTATATCATTCTTTAAAGCCGGAATTGGGTTTTTTATAAGTACTATTAATTTTATCCGAATGGGAGTAAATATTCATCTCATAATAGTACGCGCTCTAGATTTGATTACTATTGTGGTTCCTCCTGCTCTTCCCACAACGATGTCTATTGGTACAAGCTTTTCTTTAGCTAGGTTAAGGAAAGCACAAATATTTTGCATCAGTCCCGCAAGGTATTTACCAATTTATACGAATTTCGATTCATAATTTCATCGAAAGAAACTTTTTTAAATATCGACATTTATTTAAAGGGTTAACATCGGAGGAAAGCTCAATGTTATGTGCTTTGATAAGACTGGCACGCTTACCGAGGATTGTTTAGATGTACTTGGGATACGTTGTACGGATCACATAAAAAATAAGTTCGTACTTTGCTTAATATCTCAACTTTACTAACATTAAAATTAAGAATTTTTTTTAAATTATCATTATATTTTCTTTCAGATTCTCTGACCTTCATACATCTATCGAAACTCTTTCCAATTTAAATTTGAATGATTTATCCGAATCTGATTTCACGTCAATTTTATATGCTATGGCTACTTGTCATTCTCTTAAGCTTGTTGATGGTAAATTAATTGGTGATCCTCTTGATCTGAAGATGTTTGAGTTTACAAAATGGTTATTAGAAGAAAGCGTGCAGAATACTTCATGTCCTCCAAATTTTACGAGAATTTCAAACGAATCCTCAACTTCCTCATTCCGTCCTGCGACACCTAATTCAATGGTAGGGTCTGGTAGTATTGTTCCAACAGTCGTTAGGCCTCCAGGTAGTCGAAAATTCGAATTGTCCGACCTTTTGGATAATGACGGGAAAGATGGAGAAAGGAAGGTAACGTGATCGAAAATATATTTTTCCTTAAATGAATATTGATTCTTACGTATCTTTCTTGTTAATTTAGAACACACCATTTTTGGAGCTCGGTATTATTAGAACGTTTGAATTCGTTTCTTCATTACGACGTATGAGCGTTTTGGTTAAACGATTACGAAGTCCAACAATAGAGGTTTATGTTAAAGGAGCACCGGAAGTTATGCGTGAAATTTGTAAACCAGATTCTAGTAAATTACCATCATTTCCTTACTATATGCAGATTTTTTAAATATATATCCTGTTTTTTTTTTATTAATTGTTTCCAATTTTTTTTTTTAAAAAAAAAAAAGTTCCAGAAGATTACGATGAATTGTTAAATTATTATACTCATCATGGCTTTCGGGTTATTGCATGTGCTTCTAGAAGTTTTGATAATTTAAATTGGATGAAGGCTCAGAAAATCAAGAGGTTTCATCCCGATTCCATCTCGTCTATTGTTATTAGACATACAAATTATTAATTTTTGTTTATAATTTTAAAAGAGAACAAGTCGAGCAAGATTTACAATTCTTGGGAATCATAATATTTGAAAATAAATTAAAGTCCGGCACATCACCTGTCATTGAGAAACTTAAACGCGCAAAAATTCGGCAAATTATGTGTACAGGTTGGTAATCAATAATATTGCGATGGTCGATTTTTCGTGAAACATTTTAACACGGGAAGTGGTTTTTTTTTTTAAAAAATATTTATAAGGTGACAACGTCCTCACTGCTATAAGCGTATCTCGTGAATGCGGGTTAATCAATAAAAATACAAAAGCGTATGTACCAAGATTCATCCAAGGATCTTCGATTACTCCTAGAGCCGAAATTGCATGGGAAAGCTTGGATGATCCGAAAGATGTATTAGATTCGAAGACATTAAAGGTTTTTTTAATTACTTTATCTTGTTTATATGTCAATGACCTTATTTTTTTCTAACCATCCATAATGATTTAAGCCGTTAATACAACCACCATCAAACTTTTCCAACGAATATCCAATGATCAACTCTTGTGATTATGATCTTGCTGTTACAGGTGATATATTCCGATGGATGATAGATTTTGCTGATGAAGTTACATTATTCAAAGTAAATAAATTAAATCATTTCTTAATTCATTTAATTTACATGTATCCTATTTTACTAATTTATTTATTATTCCTTTAGATGTTTGTTAAAGGGCAAATATTTGCTCGTATGTCACCTGACGAGAAACATGAACTTGTAGAAAAGCTACAACTAATGGGATATTGTGTTGGATTCTGTGGAGACGGTGCCAATGATTGTGGTGCTTTAAAAGCAGCTGATGTCGGCCTATCTTTATCTGAAGCTGAAGCTTCTGTGGCAGCTCCTTTTACAAGCCATACAATGGATATTGGTTGCGTTATAGAAGTTATCAAGTGAGTAATGATATGGTTAATAAAATCTTTGTCTTATTATAACCTAACGGGATTTTAATTCTTACTAGGGAGGGTCGTGCGGCCCTAGTTACAAGTTTCAGCTGCTTCAAGTACATGGCTTTATACAGTATTATTCAATTCACCACGGTCAGTTTGCTATATTCTTTTGCTTCTAATCTTGGAAACTTTCAGGTAAATAAATTTTAATATATATACGATTCTGATAATTTACTTTATTATTAAATTACGATTTTCTATCTCAAGTTTCTTTACATAGACTTGTTCTTAATATTACCTGTTGCCGTTTTAAGTATGATTAGACTTTTTTTTTGTCATTCTTTTCCTTTTGAAGTCTCGTAATTAATTCGTTACACGTATTTTGAACTCATAATTAGTGGGTCGCACGGAACCTTACCCACTTATAAATCCCAAACGACCCACCGCAAGCTTAGTATCCAGACGAGTGCTAACATCCCTTATTGGTCAAATTTTAATTCAATCAGGGTTTCAAATTTTTGTTTATCTATTAATACGCGAACAACCTTGGTAAGTTTAATAAATAATATTTTCAGAACATTTACTCATTCAATGTATTTATGTAATTATCATTTTTAATCTTTCGTAGGTATAAACCACCTGTTATCGATCCAGATGATACGAACATTGTTTGCTTTGAGAATACCATATTGTTTATTTTATCATGCTTTCAGTACCTTTTGATTGCAGCAGTTTTCAGTGTTGGACCACCTTACAGAAAACCCATGCATAGCAACGGTTAATAATATTTCATTATATGATTTAACCTTCTTTTCCTGGGATTCTTATTAATAATTTTTTTTTTTTTTAAAAAAAAAAAAATAAAACAGTTCCTTTTGTTTTCTCAACAATTTTCCTCACACTTATTACGACGATTATCCTCCTTTACCCGGCCGGTTTTGTACGTCAAATATTGGAACTTAAGGTCATTGAATACAATTTCAGATGGTATCTTTTGTTTATTGCGGTTCTAGATTTTATTGTATCGTGGTTAATGGAAAAATACGTATTTGATGTTCTTGCGCAATGGATTGGAAATTTAATGGGTGGTAAGGTAAAAGTACACAAAAAATTATACAAGAAAATACAAAATGAATGGGATAGGACTTAACAAAGTTTATGTACCGTTAAAATTTCATAAATTATAAATGTTAATGAATTAATAACTTAACTATTTTGATTAATTTTAGAATCTAATTATTACTTTTTTTGTCGAATTTTAAATCTTTGTATTCACCATTTTTAAATTGTTTAGACCACTAATCATAGATAATATTGAAACCATTATTAAATAAATCATTAAATTAACATGAAAATAGAAAACGATGTTACAAACCATCATTGATGGGATCCATTTATTAGGCTTGTTATGACGCCACTATAACCAATCGTAAAAATCGTATTAATAATGACATTACATTTACACCTTAAACGCGACTTACGCGTTGTAAAAAAAAAAAAATTTACCTCTCGTTCAGCTGAAATTTTCCAAACAATTCCTACAATGACAAATACTCCTGCCGTGATTATAGTAGTATTACTTTTCCAATTAGCCGGCCGACTCCACCAACCACCAGCTACGAAAATAAATAAATAAAATAAATGAAAATTAATTGAGTCAATCATTATAATATAATATACCTGGAGACCTGTATTAAATACAATATAATTCAATGATATTATTAATCTCGCGTAAAATTTGTTCAATTTATTCGGTTATAATTCGATTAAAACTTACCAAACTTCTTTAGGATAAGGATATCGTTTAACTGCACCCTGAATGATAAAATAAAAAAGAATTCATTGATGAAAATGTATGTAAAGTGGGTGGAAGAAACAAAAGGCAATATTATGATAACATACCATTAAGAGAGAAAAATTGCGGATTTTCAGTTATTTCATTTCAAACCTATTTATATAAATTCGATTGAAGATTTGATTGGATAATAATTTTTTTACGATCAGATCAAGTGAATATGCATAAATTTGAATTATAAAATGAAATTTGACTTTCCTCTTCTTTCAATTTCACATTTGACGCCTCTAAAAATGACCAGCAAAACAGTTCGGTGCGTAATTACAATATACTAGATAGATCACTTCTCTTTTTAAAAAGCATATTCGCTTTCGGAATTTGAAACTTGGCTGGATGGATATTTTTTTTTTAGGTTTCGAAAAAAAGCAAAAAATGACAATTAAAGAAAGGGATAAGTTTATCAAGATTAATCAATATTAACGAATCAATTACATATATTTAGTCTTTACGCAAAAGGTCGCCATCTCGGATACAAGCGCTCAAAGAAAAATCAATCTCCAAATACTTCTTTAATTAAAATTGAAGGCGTAGCAACAAAGGAAGATACACAATTCTACCTTGGTAAACATGTCGCTTTTGTATATCGAGCTAAGCGGGAGGTGATTATTTTCAAAACTTTTATTTTAAAAAAAAGAAGGAAATTATGTATATCTTTTATTAAAATTAATTGCATCGATTTAGAAAAATGGTAGTAAAATTCGCGTAATTTGGGGTCGCGTAACTAGGTAATAACCTTAAAAACCATGTAAAAATATGATAAATATTGTTGGAGATTAACTTAATTTTAATTACTTTAGGTCTCATGGTAATGGTGGTGTCGTGAAAGCTAAGTTCCGAAAAAATCTTCCTCCAAAGACCTTTGGTGCTTCCGTTCGAATCGTAAGTGAAATTACTTTAATAATTTGGATTAGATGTCAAATATGCTTGTTAATTAACTATATTATTTTTATTGAAATTTCAAGATGATGTATCCATCACGAGTTTAAATTAAGGGGAATAATATTATAATAATAAAAAGACAAAGACTATATATTTTAATCACAATAATAAATTAAGTGTTTAAGTGATTATTACTTTATTTTAGAATATTTCATTCTTTTTCGTCAGCAATCTTTAATTTTTTAAAGAGATCTTTAGCAATTTCGCTAAAACCTGTATAACTTTCAGGATGCTCCATAACATTATTAAAACCTTCAGTTTCTCTAACTGTTGCAAAATGTTTCATTATGTAATCCATACAAACTTTTTTCAAATCTGGCCATTGATGACCCAAACTAAATAATACTTCGGCAACGTTAGTTATCGCCAGTTCTTTGTAAATTCGCGCTAACGCACGTTGTCTTAAATCAGTAATTTGATATTTATCGGCTAGTCGGAAAAGATTTACGAGCGATGTCACCCTGGGTGTTCCTGAAGGTTCAGAGAATTTGATTACATTGGTATATAAATAGTGGAGCAAAGCATAAAATGTTGGCACATCACAATCCGTAATGTTGACAACATGATAGAAACCGGGAGGTATATCTTGAGGAAAATCCTCGTCATCAACCTCTGCTTCAGGCCCATTGGTTTTAGCTATAACCGCCGAGACGACTCGATCTTGTTTCCCAACGATATATTCTTGTTCAATACTTTTTGATTTAGCTAATGATTCTGGGATCTCATGATCATTCCTATTATGATTATAATTATTATTATTATTATTATTATTATTATTATTTACATTATTTACTTGACCATCGATCTGAAAATCGTCATCAACCTTTATAATATCATCATTTCTGTAATATGTAGTATTCTTTTGAGGATAAAGGGGGGTAATGCCATCAGTATCATGATAAGGCGTAATGGAAGTTGTGACACATACACATGTTGTCGAACTTTCTGAATGTATCGACCGTTGCTTTTTAGTAATCCTTTGTTCTTCATCCTTATTTCCAAATTCGATAGATTTGTCCAACTCTTCCATATCGTTCTCGGTACTTTCCATAATTTGTTCACTCGACTTTGGTCCATTACCAGTGGAATCTCGAAGTCGTTTCCTTAAACGTCCACACTCTGCAACGGATATCGTGCGTGATTCAACGTATCCACTAGCAAACATGGCTTTAAAGTATTCACTTCTACCACAAACAATTTCTTTATTCGCACAGATAATTTCTCCCTGCACCTGAAACAAGACATCTGCCATTCTCGGATTATTAACAGCGGTAATCCATGAATGTACTAGTGATTCTGGAGGAGAACAAATATTATCATTCCATATGACACCGTTCTCGGTAAAAGGAACGTTTAAAAATTCAATCCCCAGAACCAATTTAGTCGATGGGATCACAGATCGTTTAACGAAAAATTCCCGTCCTAGGTAAAAAAAATTCAAAGTTGAACGATGAATAAATACAAGATCGGAAAATTGACATTATCACAAAAATACCTCGATAAGAACATCTAATAGAGAATTTTCTGAGATTCCTGTTAGTGTAAGAAATTGTACTTCCTATTCGAGTTTTCGTTTTAGGATCCATCAGATAAACTGTTGCAGTTGTCAACATACGTTCTCGCCATGGCTCAACGGTTTTGTTTTCGTTATAATTAGGAATAACGCAGAGATATAAGGATAAATATTCCTCACCATCTTTAAGCGAATCGGCCTGTCATAATTCAATGAATCATTAAGCCAAATATATATCGGACGCAGAGTTTTGAAAATAAAATAAAGGTAAAGTTTCTCACTGGTTGTATCCAAAGTTGCCATAAGTGTTGGTCACTTCCTGAAGAAAAAATAGGACTATGTAAAGCTTTATTCAGTTGAGCTAAACCAGAAAACGTAAACTCATAAGTTGCACTGGTAGTATTATCGCACATGGTTATAAACTTAATTGTGCTGACGAAAAGGTCAAAATAAGTGACAACGAAAGTTTTTAATCATATTCACGCCCTGTATTTATTGGTTACATCAAAACTTTCTATTGGTTTAAATTTCTTACATAACAAAAATCATTTCAGGGGGTAAAAATTCGTAATGGATTATTTTTTTTTTAACAGAAAATTAATAATAAATAAATTATATAGACGGCTTATTTTGTAACACGAAAGACATAACACGTGCTATATTTAAGAAACAATTATTTTTTAAATATATCCTTTATTAACATTAATATTTAATATAATTATTATTTATTAGCCCGGATTAGAGTTGCAGACATTTCTCCTACCTGAATACCGTAAACGGTTGACTAAAGTACCCGGGTATTTAACAAATTCGTGAAGTCGGAGGGTACTATATACACTACAGGGGGTATTTTGTTCTAAAGGGTTTATATAAATGCTATATAAAAAAACAATTAATGTATAAATAATATCCCGGGTCTTTTACATCAGATTTATGGTGAGGGTATTATACAATAGGGGATACTTTAGTCAACCGTTTACGGTTTGTTATATGGATTTTGGATGACTTATGTTATTTCATGTTCTAATGTTTGTGGGGTACGTTGTACCCCGGGAGTACAATACTAAATGGGACATTGACTAGCAAAATGCCCTCCGAGCCTTGTCAAAAATTTTTTTTTATGATTTTATATAAGCTGAATATGCTTAACTATGATAATCTAATTTTTTGAACATAAACGTATAATAAATTATCGAAATATTCATATAAAGCTTTCTTGTTCAAAAAAGATCGACAATCTAAAATTGGAATAATATGCATTTTTAATTTTTAAGGAGACATAAAATATAAAAGTTTGTATTACATTACATATAAATTGATCATCATATTGCATTTTGTTCTAAAAATAAACTATGATCCAAATGTTAATCAGATTTACATTTTTATTGGTTTTTGGCAAATATTCTTGTATCCCTCTGATCAAAGTATCCCATCCTCTATAGTATCCCAAATTTTGAGAATTTGTATTGGACAGGCGGTATCCGCTTAAAATTTAAGTCAATATATAATTGGCTAGATTTAACAACAATTTTCTAGTTATTAAGTAATATTATAAATATCATAATACTAGGCAATATATAAAATCTACGTGAAAATTTATATGCACAAATTTATAAATTATTACTAAAATAAGAAATTAATAACAATTTCTTATGTAAATTTACCTTTTTTATACATAATTAATCTATTTTTAGTAATAATTTATGCACATTTTATGTTATGTAATATGTGTACAAAAAAAATTAATGTGCACATGTGCATATTATGCACATAGATTTTATACACTGATACTAGGTAACAGGAACCGTTAGAAGCATCTAAAACGTTAATCAACATAAAAATATCTTTAATACTGTTTATTTATAAAGTTAAAAATACAATTAATTAAAAAAATATTTGTATTACTAAATTAAAAATCATCAATTTCTAACTTTATTAGAATAAATTAATTGTGTTCTATAATTGTTTCACGTTGATCTTTTTTAAATAGTTAAATAAATGTTTGAAAAACTGAAAAAATTGTATTACAAAAATGATTGACAGAAATGTGATTGACAAATCATACGTCAAGACAGGCACTACATGCATAGTTTCAGCTTTAACCGGAAATGTTCTATGCTTACACTTCAGACAATTATTTATAATTATAAATATAAAAAATATAAAGGCTTAATAATTTATATAAGTTAATTAATATATATAAATTCAAAAAAAAAAATTCTATTTAAATTAACAAAGTTAACTTATTAATATATTAAATCATTTTAATATTATAATAATTATATATAAAGTTTTTATAAATATTTAATTATTAATAAAATTTATATTATATATTTAATATGATATTTATATTTATAGTATAAGATTTCAATTATATAATTAATTTTAAGTTAGTTTTTATTTATTAAGCAAATAAGTTCAACATATTAAAAAAAATATTTTTAGATTAATTAAATTTATATTTATAAAATATATTTAATATTATAAAGTTATTACAAATCTTATCTTCTTTAAACTTTACTAATTAAATTTATTTTAATTATATTAATATTATTTTATAATTAATTATTATTTATTTTTATTAATAAAAAAAAAATAGCAACTTAAAGTATATATAATTAATAAAATAATCTTTATTATATATAACTAAATTATTACTTATTAAAATGATTTTACAGATATAAATATAATTAATTAAAATTTTAATTTTTTTAATATTATAAATAAGTTTACTTAATAAATAAAAATAGATTATAAATTTTATTTATTAATAAATAAATTATTATATTAAAATAAAATTTTACGTAAAATATATGATATAATTATTATTGTAAATCAGATATTTATAATATTAAAAATGTTTCTTAAACTATTTTTAAAAAATTTGAGTTTTGAAAAATTTAAGATTAAACTATTTATTTATAATAAATAATTTTTATATAAACTTCTAATAGGTTTTTCAAAACTTAAATTTTTAAGCTATATATTTCAAATAGTATTATTAATAATAGTATCAGCCATGACAAATTCTGGAGTTAACTCAGTCAGCTATTAGAGATTTTTCAGTCGACTTAGCTGTCAGCTGAGTTGAGACTCTCATTTGAAATTAGCAAGCATAATTGTATTATTAATATCTTAATATTTATCAAAATTTTTTAAAATTTAATTAATATTGCAAAAAATAGATAATTATATGTTTTATCATAAATAATGTTGACAAAAATTCTATTTGACTAATATTTAAAGTTTTATTTAATTAAAAATTTCATAATATACTGACTTTATATCAAATTTGGAACAGTGTTTTAGTTATAACTCAATTATTAAAATTCTGAAGTCGACTCTAAATGGTTTTTGTAGAATTGACTTAATTGTCAACTTTGAATTTAACAGCTAGTACTATTAATTATTAATAAATACTTTAGGGTATATGTAATTTATTATAATATCTAACTTTATTTATTACTTTAAAAATGGCTTAATTAATAAAATAAAATAGTTTATTTAAAAATTTTTCTGTTAATTTTCTAAATTTTAATATTTAAAAATTATAAATAGAAATTAATTAATCATTATTATATTAATTTATATTAGTTAAAATTAGTTAATTAACTGTTAATATAAGCAACTATCAAATATATATTTTATTTTTAATAATAATTTATAATTATTATATTATTATATTATATATTATATTATTAATAGCAGAAAATCTTATTATACTAATTATAAAATACATATTCAAAATTAAAATAAAAGTTGAAATATCAAAATTAAAGTCATTATGTTATATGATTTTCATATATAAAAAATAAAAATAAAAATAAAAGATCTTGATCAAACTCACTTTATTTATTATAAAATAATAACTATTATACTTTTACAATATAGTAAGTAAATTTATCTAAACTTTATTTATATGAAATGTTTCTAGTAAAATCAAATTAAAAAATATAATAAATTATATCAAATTAATTAATATAGAAATTTTATTAATTTTAATGCATAAATTTTAAAATTTTTATTAAATTTTGTAAAATATATCATAAATATAAAATAAAATAAGTTATCAATAAATAATATATTAAAATATTTTAGTTTTAAACACAAAAAAAAAATAGCTGATTAGTTAATTATTTATAATATTACTTTTTTAATAAATTATAAAGATCAGAATTTTTGAAGTAAATTAAAATATATATATAAAAAAAAGGTATATTTTTTATACTAAAATAAACTTTAGTTAATTAAGAGTATTTAGTCACTTATAAAGAATAAAGTTACAAATTTAAGTTTATTCCTATATTTTTTTATTTATTTTAACTATTTAAAATAAATCATTGTAAACAGATAAAATGTGACAAGGTTTATTATATGATGCAGATAATTGACAAATCTGACAAATATAGCATATCTGACATTTTTGACATTTCTGATATGTTTGACATATATGATATATCTGACATGATCGACAAATAGGATATATTAGACAGATTTGATATATATGACATATCGGACATATAGTTGCTTCCAAAAATTATGCATCACCTAATATTTTAACTTTAAAAGCTTATAACTCATTATCTACCTATGCTAAAAATATGATTTTACATTTATTTTAATTCTTAAATCTTAGAGAATAATTAATAAAAATTTGAAGTATGATTATTAATACCAGTTTTGCGTAATTTTGCGATTAATATAAACATTTTTATTACATAAAATTTTATTGTTAGAAAATTTTTCAGTAGGTCAGCTACTGAAAAACTGATACTGGATTCCAATTCTCCTCAATGCGGCGATTCCAACAAGTTAAAATTTGTCAAAATTGGATCAGTAGATCAGCAAATAATCGATCTATAAGATCATATAAAAAATGTGTCTAACCATATTTATATATATTATATGGCGATCTTGTAGATCAATTTTTCACTGATCTACTGATCCAATTTGATAGAATTAGTTTGACCGACAACTCTTTCTCGCTTCAACATAACCACCGCTAGACAAACAAAAAATTCAAACAAAAATACACAAAACAAAAATACTTTTACTGAACTCTTTACTTCAAATGCTCAAAATACTTTACTTCAAACACCTTTTACCTCTCAAATGAAAAATCCAACCAATTTTGATATTGAAATCCCAAACAAACGAAAAAAATTTTCTTCTCCTCCAAATAATTTAGAAAACATTATCAAAAATATTATTCTCACTCCTCCAATAATCAAATTATTGACTCAAATACATCCATTATTACTTCTAAAGTCTCAAACGAAAATAAAGAAAATTTCATTATAGAAATAAACAACTCACAAACTCTTGTTTTAATTGACTAAAGCACCAATGACTCTATGCACGCTACCTCTCAAAATCTACCTCTTCTCCTATATCAGACAATATGGATACACCA